TCTGAGTCTAACTCCCGCCTGCTCCAAATAAGGGCAAAGAGGCAGAGCCGAGGCGGGACCTGCTGCCTCCAGCTGGGAAGTAACAGAGCTAGCTCAAGCTAAGAAGCTAAGCTAACATGGTCCCCATCTGCACACTGCCGTCACATTTTACGTTTCTAAGGTAAGCGGACATGAAACTATTCAGCAAAACTATAAATAATAATCTAAGTTATTGAGTTTTTAGCATAATACTTCAGAATCTTAAAATCCCTTAACGTTTGTATGCAATGTGCTAAATGCAACACTGGAATCAAGCAAATATTAATATGTTTGCATGACATTAGTTATTTATATTTTGCTATCACTTAATTATACGTTTAATACATTTAAGTCAAGCTAAGGTACAGTACATGTGATGGTAGCTAGTTAGTGCTCTTACCTGTGAGGCCTCCTCCAAACAGCATTATAACCAGACTGTATCATTAAAACTATAAGTACCAGTTCTAGATCCTTGACTTTAGACAAACAATTCAAAAGACAAAATGTATTTAAAGACCAATCTTTATTTGAAGGTGCCTCTTAAGCTGGGATATTAGTTATACAGTAATAGTATTGACAATCTAAAAAAACTGAGCAACTCAACAGTCAACTTTATATTTCTTATTGTCTAAAGCATTTATTATTTTCATTTTCCCCCTCTCATATTCAGTGTGGAGTGTGGACGGATTGAGACAGCGTGGTGTCCAGAGAGCTGCAGAGACTTCAGGGAGAAACCTCCGTGTGATGGACGTCCTGTCTGTTGGTTTGGAGAGGACTGAGGGTCTTTCCTCTGTGAGGAGGATCAGACCTGATGGAGGAGCCCATGCATAGCTGATACCACCTGATCAGGCCTTGTCTGTCAATTTATTTGACTAAATGTGTTTACTTATACATTTAATAGGTTTACACCTTCTGTCCATATGTGCTTTTTATTTAAAACATGTTTGATTAACTTTTGGTTCAGATTTCAATAAATTGAATTTGTATTTGCACTCCTTTTGTCCATTATTCTTACTGAAAATGTTAGATTACACATTCACATCCGACTGAAGATTGGCCCCATTTATTTGTGACGTTGCAAACTCTGCGGTACAAGGTACATGTTGTGAAGCTCATGAAGTGAGGCAAATAGAAATAATCAGCTGATGGAGTGTAGATGTGGAAATAGGTGCATTTGATCAGCTGACTGTGTTTTCACAATAAAAGTAGTTTCTTAGTGAATGTCCTGTACTGGTCTTAACATCTCATAACATCAGCTTTTAATTTTCCTCTTGGATGTTCTTCTTGACCCTCAGAGAAGGAGAAAATGTTGAGTCGTGTCTTTCAGGCATGTCCTTTCCTAACAAAAATTACAGGAAACATAAAGCATATTATTGCAGAACAAGTGTGTTATTTATGAAAGAGGTGTGTTTGTGTTTAGGGGCTGTAGATATAATTATTTTGTAATTGTAATGTTTTTTTTTATTTCAACAGTGAGCTACAAAGACAATCAGATTATGAATGAACAGTATGAAATTCATCAACATTGAAATGTATTTTATTATCAATATAATATTTAACTGTTATTAAAACAAGCTTGCTCTGTTGTCTCACTGAAAGAATAACTTTTACCACGTTTTTACAGACAATATTGAGAGATAAATAGCAGTTCTCACTATGCGTTAAATATCTTTGCCTTCAATACCTTAAATTAGAAAGCTGACAGTCATATTGCTTGTTAACATCTAAATGTAACCCTTTGCATGGAAAAAACCCTCAACTTCACTGATGTGTAGGTGATCTAGTATTTAGTATTGTTTAATGGAATGTATATCAGTGTATTAAAGTCAATACTTCATTTATTTAAACCAATATCTTTCTTGATTCTTTGTACAGTATGAAAAAAGAGTATTTGTACCTGTGCTGAAGTTCACTGCTGTGAGGAGTCCAGTTCTGTCTCTCACTCTCTGGTCCAGCCTGTCGAATCACCTGGACACTTTAAACAAACAGATATATATGTAAAGAACCATGTGTACAAACAATATAACTTATTATCTTCTGTTGAACATGTTGGATTGTGTATTGTCCGAGTCCTTTTTATTTTACTGTAACTTTGGAAGTTGTGTTACCAATGCTTACTGTTTATTTGATACCAATTTGGTAATGCAATTAATAAAAACAACAAGGTTTGGGTTCGTTCTTCAGATGACTGTGACGTTAACGTATAAGCTCAATAATGAACTCCAGCTCAACCAACCATATTGTAATATCTAAGTAATCATCTTGAAATATGACATTAATAATTGTAATATACACACATCTTATTGTGAGGTTGATTTCACATACACTACTTCGACGTTAGCTTGTCTACATACTTGAGCATAGCCAATTTAAATTAACCTTAGCGATGCATAAAGTTCCTACCTACATAATAAAATATCTCTCTAAGTTACAATGATGACCTTATTTTATCAACCTCAAACAGAAGCCTTTTGTTCTACAGTATTATCCCACTTAACGCTTAACACTTGTCTATTTCGTTTTAACCTTTATATATACAGTCTATGGTTTTAAGTTAACTTGGAGGCTAAGATTAGCATCGTTAGCACCGATGTAGCTAGCTTACACGCTAACCCAAGCCTTAACATTCATTACGTAGCTGATTGAAATCATAAACACATAAATAAAGTACTCGAATTTCACTTACCGCAAAACGGCATTCATGCACCGTCTGTTTTAACCGCAGAGCGAGTCACAATAGTCCCATATGTAAGCATGAAGAACAAACAAACACGGCCGGGGTCAAGTTGTGTTCCCTGGATGAACTGAGCAGGCAGAGTCCCTGTAGCTTCACGGAGACGGAGCAGCTAGCAGAGAGACAAAAAGCTAACAGCAGCAGTCACTTGACAGAGCTGTCACTCAATGTGACCACGCCCTAATTTATGCAAACACTTTAAGACCTAATATAAATAAAAGGGTCATGTTAGAAAACAATTCACTCACAGATTCATAATCATGAAGGTGGAATCTAACTATATACATAATAAAATGTATTGCAGCCAGGGCTAGAAACGTTTTTTTTCTGCTGTGAAAATGGGCATTTTAACATGGGGGTCTATGGAAATTGCTCCTTTCTGCAGTCATCGCCTATCGGCCAATATATGAACTGCAGTTTGTGGCACTTCCGTATTGGCGTCCCGGCTCTTCCCCAGAGTTTGCCGCTTGGTTTGCACGTGTAACTCTTCCAAGTTTCAAGCGTCATGAAACCTAAATGTTGTTGCGTTCAAATTTGCCTATCTTCTTTAATTGGTTAAGCAACCATTATTTTGTCTTTTACAATGAGAGGGGGTGCACCGTTCCTGGAGGTACTGCAATACCAGGTCGATGCGTGGAGTGGACGGAGCAAGCCCCTATTCCATCTCCCTATTCCAAAAATCAATTTAATATATGGTCCCCGGGTAGGGGACGTATCAGATATTAAACTGATAAGAACAGATACTACACTTGATCTTAGCCAAAAGGCCGAGAAGCGATACTTAAGAACTGTTGGAGGCAGGAAAGTCATTCCCCGCACAGTCACCTTCACTCACGGTTTCAAAGTGTGTTTCAGTAACAGTATGAGTGTATGACTCGATGTTGTAGGAACAAAGTACATGGGCACACTAAACACAGCAGGTGAGAAAAGGGCAAGAACAGCAGCAGAATCTGTTATTTTCAGTAATGTCGTTGGTGCCGCTCCAGAACAGTCTGGTCACGTGTCACGTTTTAGTCCAATTAGAATAGTATCCCCTGAAATACATTTTTATCGTATTTACTGTCAGAAAATGACCTGTAACTTAAGCAAATCGAAGGTAATATTAATCATAAACGTGAATATAACATAGTATTATTTCAAAATTCCTCTCTGAAGGAAGAAAGCATGTGTAACAGCTGGGTGGAGACAAACAGCTCCAGTGCACTCTGGTGGAGAACTGCGTGAACGGCACGCTGTGTATACTACAGGTTATTCTGCTCTTGTCTAAATCGAAGATACATTTTCTTGAGGAGCCTTCCTCGACATTGAGAAACACCCACTGTATCATGTCTTTTTTTAATATATATATATATATATGAAGTTTCAATTTTTCTTACCCGACAAACTCAAATTACTTCTTTCAAATGTGTGTTTTATGTCCTATTTTCATATTTTCGACTAAGTACTTTACTGTGACCTTTATTTCATCATACTAGACTTTATATTTGTTTTCCACATAATATACTATGATGTATACATACTATAAAAATACTTACTTTACAATAATGGAGAGATAACCAGGGTTATGTCCCAAAAGTTCTGTTTTTTGGGGGTAATATAACCATTTTGAGCAGTTTTTCTCTTGTATTAATTCATGAAAAAATACTTTAACTATCAGCCGAGGAGTTTAAGTATAATTTGCTTGATTCAAAACCTAAAATAAGAGTGGAGGATACTTTAGGTCTTCAAACCTGTAAAATACTGCATTTTTCTGTCATTTTAAGACCAAACTAACGGATGATTGATTGATTGATTGAAAAGTTTATTAACAGCTTGTATATTGGGTACAGTACAGTAGCCTACAGCTCAAAACATACAATTGTTAAGGGGATGCAGACCAGAGAAAGACTTTCATCTTGTTTACATCAGGGTCCTCCATTTCCAATTCATCATATCATTTAAGACATATGATGACAGATGAATCGAGAAGATATACTTTCAAACTAATCAACACTGAGATTAATTGCTGCCTTAATCTGTTCAATTCAAAATCTGAGCATTCATATTCCTTTAAAAGGGTTTTTCCAGAAACATTGACGGGTGATTAAAACCCTTTCATGTAATGTAAGAAGAGGTGAGCACTAAGTACTTTACTGTGACTTTATTTCATCATACTAGACTTTATCTTTGTTTTCCACATAATATACTATGATGTATACATACTATAAAAATACACAGACATTTGTACACAGAAATAAACCCACAGACATATTTTTGTAATACTGTTTTATTATTTTTCACATCTTTATTGACAGGAGAATCCGAGGCTCAGTGACCGTGTTTCCACGGATCGCCCGTCGCCTCTCCGTCAGAAACACTGTCCTCTGGAAATAAATACAATACTGATTTTTTATTTTTTAAAAGAAAAGAAGAAGATTTTCTAACCTACGTCTCAGAGTCTGGAGATGATTCCACATTTATTACTACGTGAAACTACGGCACGACACATGGAGGGAAACGGATCTGTTTCAGGTGAGAGGAGGAAACGAGACGCAGTGAAATCCTGCAGCTGGAGATCCACGACGTGAGGATGAAATACTGAGACCACCTGAGGGGAAGGGTCTGGTTTCTGCAGTTTTTTGGGTTAAAAAAACCTAAAATATGACTTGTTTTTGTATTAATTCATGGCTAAAAACCTCAAATATGAGTCGAGGGAGTTTCAGGATACTTTGGGTCTTCAAATCTGTGAAATATTGCACCTCAATTATATAAAACAATATTTACTTTACAATAATGGAGAAATAATCAGGGTTATGTCCCAAGAGTTCTGTTTTTTGGGGGTAATATAACCATTTTGAGCAGTTTTTCTCTTGTATTAATTCATGAAAAAATACTTTAACTATCAGCCGAGGAGTTTAAGTATAATTTGCTTGATTCAAAACCTAAAATAAGAGTGGAGGATACTTTAGGTCTTCAAACCTGTACAATACTGCATTTTTCTGTCATTTTAAGACCAAACTAACGGATTAATCGAGAAGATATACTTTCAAACTAATCAACACTGAGATTAATTGCTGCCTTAATCTGTTCAATTCAAAATCTGAGCATTCATATTCCTTTAAAAGGGTTTTTCCAGAAACATTGATGGGTGATTAAAACCCTTTAATGTAATGTAAGAAGAGGTGAGGACATCTTAAGTGTTTATTGATAAATACATGTGAAAGAGTAGAGTAGATATTTTCTTAAGCTGTAGAATAAAGTACACTGACCAGCTGTTATATGGTGTTACCGAGTCTTTATTTTAATTATTTTTGAGGTGTTTCTTAAGAAGAGGAGAGCTGCAGACAGGAAGTCAGACATTATTAAGGGACGGACGAACATACTTAACAAAAGCAGTGAGTATGATGAAGGTAATTTGAGATACTTTGGAGGAGCTACGACGCTAAATGTTTAAAGCGTTATTCTCAGGAAGGTGGGCTCAACATTTCATCTGTTTGGGATTTAAAGAACCAGCTGAACAGGAGCGTGACGAGCGCCACGTAGAAAATAAAAGGAGCTGTTAAAGTGAAATGTAGGCACAGAGAAACAGGACGAGGGTCTCAGCGCCCCGCCAACAGATCCTCATTTTAAAGATGTTTGTGTATCACTTTTACAGGAATGTCGTGTATTTCTACTTTAGTCTAAACTGCGAGGAGTTCTGCGTTTTCTCGTATAGGATTAATATCCGCTTCCTCCTCGATTTGGCAAACAAAACAAACTAATTGAATATTAATAATTGTAGTAATAGTCAGAAATCCACTCATTCCAGTTTCTCGTGTGTGATGTTCTTGCCTTTTCAAGACCACTATGATTGCAAATGAAAACACTTGAGCTGTAGGACATTGTAACTTGTTTCTCCATTTTCTGACATACAAAAAAAAATAAAAAAAATAATCAGCAGGTGAATTAATGGTAAACAAAGTGAACAATCTCCAATACAAGATACTGATTGCTCGAGACACAAGCTGCATGAAAACCAGCACATCAGGACCTTTTTTCATCCTGTTTCAACACTGTTTTGGTTGTTTGTGAAATAAAAAGCCATGTTTCTCTGGTGGAAAAGCAGCAGATTAATACATCCGGCCAGCAGGGGGCGTCGGAGGAACGCTGTAACAGGAAGCTGCTCTTTAGGAAACAAGTGGGTTGTTAGGAAATAATACTGTGAGTAAAAAACGTCCAGCCAAATTCATTTTAAAGTTATTTAACACTGATTTGCGTTTAAAACGGGTTGCGTTCATTTGTCTCGAAGACTTTTAGAGCCACAAAATATTAAATAATAGCGTAATAAGAAGTGCTTGATGAAATGGGTTTGGCACATTAACTACTGGGTCTGATCTGGAGCTAAAACCATTAGCGATTAGCCGACAGACACAAATGTTCTGATGATAATCAATTAGACATTAAGACGCTTCTCAAATCTCATTTGCTGCGTTGAATATCTTTGGATTTTTTTGGACGAAATGTGATGGGCTTTTTTTCCACATCTTTCTAACTGTTTCTCTTCAGATCAAGCAATTAATCGATACGGTAGTTAATCGAGGAATAGTTAGTAGTTTATAGATTAAGAAAACAATCGTCAGCTGCAGCTCTTCAGTAGATTTCTCTGCACTTTGTCCAGTGATTTTCTTTTGACTAAATGTCTAAAACTTTTCCTTTGACGTTCAGATCAGTGCAAAGCCTATGCAGTCATTACCCAGAAATCATTGGGACTACTTTTTAAAATGCTAAGCAAGAAACTAACTCCTCCAAACAAGGATCCATCCCAGAATTCAGCAGCAGCTTTTCTGAGAGAACAGACGACTACTCACTACTTCTAAATTCTGAAGAAACGTCTGGTAAAGAGTCCTCTGATCCGATCGCGTCTCCAAGCAAAGTTTATTTTCTCCTCAGGAATGTGGTCAGGAGGAAAATGCAGATTTGGGGTAAACCACTTATCAAGTCAGGAGGGGTGTATGGATGCATTGTTTGGAGCTGAACAATCCGACTTCCAGCGGTAATACTTGGCGTTATCGAGTCAGGAGGCCTGGCATCAAACAGGAATTCATTCTATGTTTCCAAGCTGCTTAACCCACTGACCTCTGGGGGTCTTTTCACGATCAAAAAATGACCCAAAAAGAACAAACAAAAATGGACGCTAAAACATTTTTTTTCAACACATAGCACCATGTCATCGGTTTCCGGTTCTGAACACTTGGTTGCAGAATGTCACATTTCCAAAGGTTTTTTTATTTTATTTTATTTTTTTATTTGTGAGAGTCAAGAAAACAAAACAAAATGGCGGTGAGGAGATAAAGAAGGAGGCGAAGCTGAGGTATCTGTTCACGCTTTTTTCTTTGTGAGGGGGTGACAGAAGGCACATTTTGCCGAGGGCAGGGAGGGGTTTTATTTCTTGAAGCGATGAACTCTCCAAAGCTTTTTGTCCGCTGATGGATGACAAAGAAAAAACACTTCTTCCGATTATTTCACCAACCAATCAAAAAGCTGCATTTCCTCCTCACAGAATCACATGCTCTGTTTCCAGTTGACGGTGTTTTTTGACCCAGAAGCCGCGTTGAGAGGGTCTTGATGATCTGTGTGATGATTGAGAGCCGCTAAAAACCATCTGATAGGATTTTTAGATTTATTTTCTCTGATTTTATTGCCTGCCCCCTGTTTTTCCCACCTTCAAACTCGCGCCGAGACGTGGTCGAGCGACGTCGCTGAAGCCGACGTCGCCGAAGGTGTCGCCTTTGGGGGAGGAGCTACTTCTTTTAGCTCGTTTCCAGGGCAACTCTGAGTGCTAACGCCGCGGTTTAACGGCCCTGCTCGCGGCGGCGCGTTAGCCGCGAGAACCGAGCCGGGGTCGGTTCGCGGGATGTTTACGGGGCAGGATCGGGTGCGAGCGTGACCTTTATGACCTCCAGGGTGACAAACGAGACTTCCCACGGTGTCCACGGGCGACAGGTGGCGTTTCATCCATCGCTCCACTCGTTCCTCTTTGTATTTGATGGAGTACCAGGTGAGGAAGATGAAGAAGAAGCCGATTAACTTGAGGCTGGCAGCGAGGCCGAAGTAGACGAAGCGCAGCGAGGTGACGTCGTATTCCCAGCAGGAGCCGTGCACGCCGCAGTCCTGCTGCCACAACATGCACGTGGTGTCGATGACGGCGCCGAAATATATGGGCGTCGGGATGTAGGCTGGGTGGAGAAGAGAGGGGGAGAGAGTGAGGAGAAATTGTTAAATAAACAGACACAAAACGGACAGAAAAGTGGAACAATTGTGAGAGACAGAAAGTGATTAAGTTAAAAGTATGAAGGGAAGTTCAAGAAAGAGAATGGGCAAATGGAGTTTAGGGAGAGATAGAGAATCATAACTAAAAGTACAGAAATTAACACAATATTGGAGAAAACTAAGACAACTGTCCCTATGACCCCCCATCGCTTTCATTATCTAAAATATACCCTTTTCCCATTGGTTTAGGACATGCTCGCACATTGGAGCTTTGATACATAAGATGCAATAAATCCATAATCCTTATATAGATATTAAAACTGTCTTTGTTTGCTAACGCTACAAAAACTTAGCACCTTGGAGAAAACGAAGGATATTTTATCTGTGAGGTCTTTCTCACTTTTTAATCCATATTTGAAGTCTCTCTTCTTGCCTTTGGAAAGCTAAAACTATAAGGATTATCTGCTGTCAGACTTCCATTAGCACTTCTGCGGCTAGTGCTAACGCTAACAGTGGACGTTAGAGCAAAGAGTCAGTAAGACTCGCTTAAAACTGATTGATTAAACCCACGTTGGCTCCAAAAACACAACCTACATTTCCCATAATGCATCGTTTACTCCCCTTAATGCACATGTCTGTCAAACTCCTCTCTGATGGATTGTGTTTCGTTTCTGACTGATCGATCCTGACATGTTTCAAATCCAATTCCCCCTGATTCAGGAGAACAGCGCGGCATTAGAGAGACGACATCTAATTTCCCGAGGCTTAATCAGCTCCTCGTCAGCAGTTACAAAAATGTGCAGCGTGTTTACAATCAATTCAATCAGCTGACGTTACATCCCCCGCCTCTGATACTGATGTAAAGAGAGTCCTCTGCTGATGTTCTGTCTTTTTGTTTGGACGTATTCATGTCAAAAGCTATTTAATGCCACCATAAAAAGATGGAGAATATGTTTTTCTACTCACCGAGGGTCCTGAGGAGAACGAACTGCATCCCCAGAGCGAACGGCCTCTCCTGCTCCGCTACAGATCTGTGAAGTTCATAAGAACAGCAACACAGTGAGCGTGGAAAAACAGGATAGTACAGATACACAACACGTACAAAAAATATAGTATAGTTACTGTTAAAACAAAAAGTATTCTAACATATTAAATCAAGATGGTACAGTTTGTAGTTTTGTGTTAAACGCATCCAAATGGGATTTTAGCTTATTTTTTAAATTGAAAATGAAGGATTTGATAAACTGAGACTTCTTGGAGCTCATGATTTGAACCTTGTTTGTGTATAACCTGAACTTCAGATCTCCTACCTGAGGGTGACGATGTTATAATAAATGTATATTTAAACATCTCCAGTGGTGTATTAGTATTAGATATTAATACAGGATGATTTGAACCAAAAAGAGGTGGTTTCATCGTTTCTGTATCACCTGAACTTTAGAGTCTCGTACCTGAGCGTGACGATGATGGCGGAGGGCTGGGCGCAGGCGGTGATGAGCGTGACGATGAAGAGGAAGATGAGGAAGGGGATGAGCGTGCTGCAGGTGCGGTCGCACTTCCCCGACACGGCGTACCCGTTCTCGTTCAGGTACGTCTTCACGATGACGAGCTGCAGCTGGTTGGAGCCCGACGCGCTGGACGAGGGCGTGATCACCTGCCGACTCTGAACGCACGCGCAGTCCGAGTAGTTTCTGATCTGAGAGGGAAACATGGAGGAGAGTTAGACACTTTAAGATATAATACGGCAAGCCAGAGGGTGTTTCTCAATCGCGAGTACGCTTGCTTGGTAGCACATGTCTGTCGAGCATCTTGCTTCAGAAGCGAGTCAAGAATACTTCCTGGCATTTGGAAAACGAAGAGTGGAACAGGCTAGCAAGTGTGCAGGTGTGCGTCATATGAGAGGCCCCGCCTTACATCTTCCGCCACAGATTTGGGGAAATTGGTCCGTGCGCAAAGCATTGTGGGGATTTTAAGACCGCGGAGTCTACTCATGTGCAGCCTCGATATTTCTCCAAACGGAGTACGCCGGGCTCGGTAGATTTCCAAGTATGCTGGAGATTGGAACAGTCCTTCGGCGGCACTCGATGACGTAGTATGCTTGAAATAGTGGCTCTGAAGCAGCTTTACTCGACATTGAGAAACACCCAGAGACTTTGTAAACTAATCCTTAAAAGATCATGGGGGGGGAATCGGGTTGCTTGAAAGTAGCTCCATTTTAGAAAAAAGTCAAACAAAAATATTTTTATAAACGTAAGAAGTTGAGGAAATAATGTGCAATAAAAAGATTGAATAAAATAAGAAATATTTTTACAAAGGTTTAGTACAGATTTGGAATAACACTATTATATTTATATTAATACAAGAAGTTGAAAGAAAATGTGTAATGAAAAACAAAATAAATTAAACCCTAAAATGTGAACATTAAGCAAGAACATGTTTTTTTTTCTTTTTTTACAAGGACCACAGATTCATTTAATTCATACAATACATTAATACAAAATAAACTCTCTCCCTCTCTCTCTCTCACCCCGGTGCTGTCGTTGGCCACGCTGCTGCAGCCGGCCAGGCAGGGGTTAAAGTACGTGATGCCGTCGGAGCCGCACACCGGAGCGTACTCATGGATCTTACAGCCGCAGTTCACGTTACAGCCTCCGGTCAGGTTCCTCTGGGTCATGGTGAGCGTCGGCCTGCAGAGGGGGAACACACAGAAGGTCATCAGGGTTCACACTCCCTTTATGTAGGTGCCTTGATGGGAGATAGGAGGAGGAAACAAAGGGAGAAAAGGCGTTGGGGAGAAATCTAAGGAAATGTATGACAGACTGGAAGACGGAGAAAGAGCGAGGAAGTAGGGATGCAAGAGAGGAAAAGATAACAAACAATTATCAGACAAAGATGATAATGAAAGGAACAAAATAACTATATGCCTTGATGGGAGATAGGAGGGGGAAACGAAGGAATAAAAAGCAGGAGAAATGAAGGGAAAGTTTGATGAAAGAAAGACAGATTGGAAGACGCAGAAAGAACAGAGAATCAAAGAGACACACAGGATAATGAAGTGAGGAGGGAAAGACAGACTGTCAGAGGGATATGAAAACCACAAGTCAGCCAAATGTCTTCTCTTCCAAGCTGTCTTTGGATGTTTTCCATCAATGCCATGTAATCACTGTCTGTCTGCTATCCTGCAGAGATCTGAGAGCAAGCTTCCTCCCCAACTTCGGCCACAGATGGGCGGTAAAAACGAGCCGTGTGTTCGGACACAACGGGAAATTATTCAGCGGGAGAAAAGGCAAACTGAAGTCTACAAACGTCTGTCTCTGATACGAGAGAAAGCATTTTAAAGACTCTGTTTTACTCTGAGGATTAACCAGAGACCTGAGAGACGTGACCCCGAAGGAGGTGGTCTACTTTTAGATAAACTACTTGTGTGTTTAAATGATTAAACGTGACACATTGGTGGATTTGTAAGAATTAAAGTTTGATATTTGAATGACAACACAGTGCAGTCTGATGAAAAACGACTATTTTCTATACTAATAGTTCCTTTTTGATGTAAAGTGTTGGATCTAACATAAACATTGGTTATTAATCAATCTTCTGCACATTTTCTTGATGAATCAGTTACTAATTGTCACTAAAACGTCATAAAATAGTGAGAAATGTCCATAGAAATTGCCCACAGTTCAAGGTGAGATGGTTGGTTTCTAAATGTTAATAAATCTTTGTTTTGTATTCAAAGGGTTAGTGTTCAAAACATATATGGATATTTATTTTGTTCTTTTTACTTTATATGCAAAATACGAAAGAAAGTAGCGAATAAATTGTTTATAAAATGTTTTAAAAGTAACAAAATTAACTATTAAAAAAGGGGGAAATGTTAAACACCTTAAATAGGATATGTATCTTGGCAGAGATACTCTATATCTCCCAAGATACATATCCTAGTTAAGGTAATGTTGGAAAAAAATAGATGACATTTTGAAAATAAATGCATGACATTATGTAATTTAAGCAGAGATGTGTAATTAAATAGTAAATAAGTATTTTTTCGTTGTAAATATTTCCAATCAGAGCAAACTGGCCGGCTCTGTTGTGATTGGTCAATCGCTGAGAGATGTCCCGCCCCTTAGCCTATCACGTACAATGTGTTGGAGCGCTAGCCAATAGGAGCGTAAGTGTGTTAAATAGTGACGTCATGATGTCCCGGAAGTAGACAAAGGAGTGCAATGGAGGCGTTGTATGGAGGGAACTTTGGGATTTTAGCCTTTGCCGACCATTTACATGCACTAAAACCTATATAACACACTACGGGAGAGGGGGAAACCCCAAAAAGCATAGTAAGGCCCCTTCAACGAGTTTACTAAGATGTTTGTTTACAGGCAGAACATCCATTCATCAGCTACACCAGAGGAGTGTGTCTTTAACCACATTACCATAACACCGTGTGTTGAGATGACGTAACAACGGTCACCGAGTCTCTTTCGGCCTCTTTCAAAATTCTGTGTTTTTTTCCGTGGGTGTTTTTACTGTTTTTAAAAAACACCCTTCCTCCACAGTCTATCATTGTATCTCCTCCTCCTCCTCCTCCTCCTCCTCCTCCTCCTCCTCCTCCTCCTCCTCCTCCTCCTCCTCCTCCTCCTCCTTGTCTGTGTGCTCTCTCCACTTTCCTCCTCTCCTTTATTCAACAATCGTCCCACACTCCACAAGCAGAGGGTGTACATTTTACATTCACATTAGTAACATGCTCAATGACCTTAGCTCGACTAATTTGCATGCATACAAAACTAAGAATAAGCTTTACTGTGGTCTGCAGAGGGTCACATGTATAACATCTGATTAATAACACTTTATAAAGAGCTTAAGGGCAGCAGATGTTCATCAAATAAGTCAAAGCTTAACTAAATACAGGGATTGTTATCATTGTGTTGCCTTTATCTTAATTGTATATATGTTTATTATAGTGTTACTTATTTTAAACCTATGATTAGCCTGGAAAAAAATGTATGTTTTGAGACCATTTAATAGTTAAGTTCCAGTTTAAGTGTTTTTAGCTTGAAAATGCGGCTTTGTAATACATGAACTCTCTCCAATTGTGGATGTGTTGGTCATATATATTGTAAAAAAAAATTGTTTATTGTCTGAACCATCACTTTGTTTTTTCAGATTTAAAAAAACACTACTCCAATAAGCGCCCTCTGCAAAGAAAACATGCTAGTATATGCATGTATTGTGCAGAAACTAGTGCCGTAACTATGCTACCCTACTAAAAAACAGGAGTAACCATTGCTTTAATATTCTCTCTTCAATTATTACTAATATCAAAAGGTGTCTCAGATCCAAACTGCACCACTTGGGTTTCCAGAAATACACCCAGAAAGTGTGAACAGTCCTCCAGACTATACACGTTCTCTTGTACAAATACACCTTTTCTCAAAGTGTACAATTCTTAGAACACGCTATTTTAGGAGCATTTTTAATAGATGATCCAAATGCAAGGTGGTTGGGACAAAATTGGCCATTTTCCAAAAGTGGTGGATGTCCCCAGAGTCCTGCACGGGTCTGATTTTCAAGACCCGCACCCGCAACGTGCAATACCGAACCCGCCCCGCCACCCGCACATATTGCCAATTAGTTCCGCACACCGTCGGCACAAGATCCGCAAACCGACCCGAACCCGCAGTAGAAACGTGCAATTATTAACACACGCAGTTGCATATTTGGCTCAAAAAGCGTGGGATGTTGGTTATTTTCTCCATCTAGGATGAAACCAAAAGCCTCCCAGACGTTGGATTTCGCTCTTGAAGAAGAGTTATTGACAATGCTGTATTCTCCGAGCTCCGCCTTCACCTCAGCCATTTCGAATGTGGCGCGCTCAGCAGCAGATTGATGCGCTGCAGAGGTTATGGTTATGCGCGGTCTCGCGGGGGAGAGGTCTGAGGATTTAAACATTAAACTCAATTATTATTATTTTAATATATTTATTATGCAACACCCGCGACCCGACCCGCATCATCTTTGTTTTACCCAGAACCGAACCCGATGCAGGACTCCCCCCCCCCCCCCAGCGTCCCCAGTATGAATGACGCCTATCGTCTGAATCCACATTACCATTTGGATTCCCTATATCTCCCATTTCACACATCGTAAGTCTCATGATTGCGCCTGAATTTGTACCCGTTTGTCTGTTTTACGCTGCATTATGTGGTTTCTCCTTTGTCAGCATTGATGCGTTACCCCCCTCCCTCTCAGAGTCAAAGTCAACTATATTGTCAATCTTTCAGTTTGTGTGTACAGACAGAGAGACTGAAATACAAAAGTGGAAGTACTCAGATCTTGTACTTGAGTAAAAGTGGAAGTACTCAGATCTTGTACTTGAGTAAAAGTGGAAGTACTCAGATCTTGTACTTGAGTAAAAGTGGAAGTACTCAGATCTTGTACTTGAGTAAAAGTGGAAGTACTCAGATCTTGTACTTGAGTAAAAGTTTTTTATTTACTCACATATGCTTGTTATTATGTTCCTTGTTATCCTTGGTTTGAGTTGGGTTTTTTAGGATTTAGTTTGCTGTGAATGCTGGGATGTTTCATCACATCCTGACCTAGAAATCAGCCCTGGTGAAATGTACAATATAAATTGTGTGAAGGTGATGATATCCTTAATACAATTACACATTAAGAAGCATTGTTCCGGGTTTTTTCGCACCACATATCTGGAAGAAAGTGTTCTTAAGGCCTCATTAAGTTGGAGTTAGGTATATTTATTTACATATCTCACTGCCAGAGGTGGAAGTACTCAGATCTTGTGCTTGAGTAAAAGTGGAAGTACTCAGATCTTGTGCTTGAGTAAAAGTAGAAGTACTCAGATCTTGTGCTTGAGTAAAAGTAGAAGTACTCAGATCTTGTGCTTGAGTAAAAGTAGAAGTACTCAGATCTTGTACTTGAGTAAAAGTAGAAGTACCAGAGTGTAGGAATACTCTGTTACAGTAAAAGTCCTGCATTCAAAATGTTCCTCAAGTAAAAGTAGAAAAGTATTATCATCAAAATATAGTTAAAGTAGCGACAGTAAAAGTAGTCATTGTGCAGATTGGTCCATTTCAGAATAATATATATGATATGTTTTATAATGATTGATCATTAAAGTGTTCTCAAAGCTGGTAAAGGTGCAGCTAGTTTGAATGACTTTGTATACTGCAGGGTAGCTTGTGAATTTACTCCAGGTGGAACTAAAGTCTGATTTAACACTTGATTATATTTCACATCATTCATCCACATCTGTAAAGTAACTAAAGGTATTAAATCCCTCCCAGTCTCCCCCCTAGTCTCCCCCCTAGTCTCCCCCCTAGTCTCCCCCCTAGTCTCCCCCCTAGTCTCCCCCCTGCTCACCCAGTGGTGTAGGGGATGTTGATGCCTCCCAGGTTGATGGTGTCGCAGCCCACGATGAACAGCGTGGAGAAGCAGAGCAACGACACGCCGCTGCAGATCATCGCCAGCTTGGCCGACTCTCTGGCTCCCAGCTTCAGCTTCTTGATGATGTATCCTCCCAAAACGATACCCACACCGGCACTGGGAACAATAATCACACCTGAGGGGGGGGGGGGGGGAGAGAAAGGGGGGACGTTAGAAACTCATATAGATATTATTTGGAGCGTCTTACAGCTAGTCCTACCAAACCTTTGTATCTGGTTTTCTAGTGAGGGTCAATTAATTAAGGATGACATATTATCAACGTATACAAAATGTATATACATTACATTACATTGTATTTAGCTGACGCTTTTATCCAAAGCGACTTACAATAAGTGCATTCGACCAAGAAGATACAAACTTGAAGAAAACAGAATCATATAAGTACATCAGGTTTCATAGAGCCAAAACATTTCAAGTGCTACTCAACTAGCTTTAGATAAGCCAGTCCTTTGTTAGTATATAAGTGCTTTGTTAGTCATTTTATCGCTCGAAGTGGAGTCGAAAGAGATGAGTTTTCAGTCTGCACCGGAAGATGTGTAAGCTGTCTGCTGTCCTGATGTCAATGGGGAGCTCATTCCACCATTTTGGAGCCAGGATAGCAAACCGATACAAAAATTAAATTAAAGCTCACCTATTATGCAAAATCCACTTCTTCATGTCTCTTCTACATCAACATGTGTCCTCTCTTCCTCATGTCTCTTCTACATCAACATGTGTCCCCTCTTCTTCATGTCTCTTCTACATCAACATGTGTCCCCTCTTCTCCATGTCTCTTCTACATCAACATGTGTCCCCTCTTCTTCATGTCTCTTCTACATCAACATGTGTCCCCTCTTCCTCATGTCTCTTCTACATCAACATGTGTCCCCTCTTCTTCATGTCTCTTCTACATCAACATGTGTCCCCTCTTCCTCATGTCTCTTCTACATCAACATGTGTCCCCTCTTCTTCATGTCTCTTCTACATCAACATGTGTCCCCTCTTCCTCATGTCTCTTCTACATCAACATGTGTCCCCTCTTCCTCATGTCTCTTCTACATCAACATGTGTCCCCTCTTCTTCATGTCTCTTCTACATCAACATGTGTCCCCTCTTCTTCATGTCTCTTCTACATCAACATGTGTCCCCTCTTCCTCATGTCTCTTCTACATCAACATGTGTCCCCTCTTCCTCATCTCTCTTCTACATCAACATGTGTCCCCTCTTCCTCATGTCTCTTCTACATCAACATGTGTCCCCTCTTCCTCATGTCTCTTCTACATCAACATGTGTCCCCTCTTCTTCATGTCTCTTCTACATCAACATGTGTCCCCTCTTCCTCATGTCTCTTCTACATCAACATGTGTTCCCTCTTCCTCATGTCTCTTCTACATCAACATGTGTCCCCTCTTCCTCATGTCTCTTCTACATCAACATGTGTCCCCTCTTCTTCATGTCTCTTCTACATCAACATGTGTCCCCTCTTCCTCATGTCTCTTCTACATCAACATGTGTTCCCTCTTCCTCATGTCTCTTCTACATCAACATGTGTCCCCTCTTCTTCATGTCTCTTCTACATCAACATGTGTCCCCTCTTCTTCATGTCTCTTCTACATCAACATGTGTCCCCTCTTCTTCATGTCTCTTCTTCATCAACACGTGTCCCCTCTTCTTCATGTCTCTTCTACATCAACACGTGTCCCCTCTTCTTCATGTCTCTTCTTCATCAACACGTGTCCCCTCTTCTTCATGTCTCTTCTACATCAACATGTGTCCCCTCTTCTTCATGTCTCTTCTACATCAACACGTGTCCCCTCTTCTTCATGTCTCTTCTACATCAACACGTGTCCCCTCTTCTTCATGTCTCTTCTACATCAACACGTGTCCCCTCTTCTTCATGTCTCTTCTACATCAACATGTGTCCCCTCTTCTTCATGTCTCTTCTACATCAACATGTGTCCCCTCTTCTTCATGTCTCTTCTACATCAACATGTGTCCCCTCTTCTTCACGTCTTTTCTACATCAACATGTGTCCCCTCTTCTTCATGTCTCTTCTACATCAACATGTGTCCCCTCTTCTTCATGTCTCTTCTACATCAACATGTGTCCCCTCTTCTTCATGTCTCTTCTACATCAACATGTGTCCCCTCTTCTTCATGTCTCTTCTACATCAACATGTGTCCCCTCTTCTTCATGTCTCTTCTACATCAACATGTGTCCCCTCTTCTTCATGTCTCTTCTACATCAACATGTGTCCCCTCTTCTTCACGTCTCTTCTACATCAACATGTGTCCCCTCTTCTTCACGTCTTTTCTACATCAACATGTGTCCCCTCTTCTTCACGTCTCTTCTACATCAACATGTGTCCCCTCTTCTTCATGTCTCTTCTACATCAACATGTGTCCCCTCTTCTTCACGTCTTTTCTACATCAACATGTGTCCCCTCTTCTTCACGTCTCTTCTACATCAACATGTGTCCCCTCTTCTTCACGTCTCTTCTACATCAACATGTGTCCCCTCTTCTTCACGTCTCTTCTACATCAACATGTGTCCCCTCTTCTTCACGTCTCTTCTACATCAACATGTGTCCCCTCTTCTTCATGTCTCTTCTACATCAACATGTGTCCCCTCTTCTTCATGTCTCTTCTACATCAACATGTGTTCCCTCTTCTTCATGTCTCTTCTACATCAACATGTGTCCCCTCTTCTTCATGTCTCTTCTACATCAACATGTGTCCCCTCTTCTTCATGTCTCTTCTACATCAACATGTGTCCCCTCTTCTTCATGTCTCTTCTACATCAACATGTGTCCCCTCTTCTTCATGTCTCTTCTTCATCAACATGTGTCCCCTCTTCTTCATGTCTCTTCTACATCAACATGTGTCCCCTCTTCTTCATGTCTCTTCTACATCAACATGTGTCCCCTCTTCTTCATGTCTCTTCTACATCAACATGTGTCCCCTCTTCTTCATGTCTCTTCTACATCAACATGTGTCCCCTCTTCTTCATGTCTCTTCTTCATCAACATGTGTCCTCTCTGTGTAAAGAGATTCTGAAAGTTTCAGGAAAAAAGATTCTCTCTCTTTTTGTCCTGATCCATTTTTATAAAAACCTGTCTGAAAATGAGCTGATCAGATTTTGGCCACTTTATGATGTCATAACGATGTGTTGTCTTGTGTAACCATTAGCCAATCACCAACCAAGGTAACCCCCCCCCCCCCCCCCCCCCCCACCTTATCACCTGAATCTCTTCCTAGAGCACCATTGTGTTCTTTTTAACCAAATCTCTCTCAGAGGGGCGTGGGGAGGGGCTCCTTATTTTCATCTAAAGTAACAGACAGAGAATCAGCACTTTTGAAACAGGGCTGAAACAGAGGGGATTATGGGTAATGCTGCAATGATCTGTTTGGTGGAATGAGCTCCCCATTGACATCAGGACAGCAGAAAGCTTACACATCTTCCGGCGCACCAAACAGATAAAAAAAAAACAGAGACAAAAAAAATAAATATTGAATAGAGATGTTAATATAAACATAAGAAATAAGAATACAAATGTGAATTAAAAAGATGAAATAAAATAAATACAAATATTGATATAAACTTTAGAAGTTAAAGTAAAAACATGCACATTGTAAAACCACAATTATAGTAGTAGCCACAAAACCTAGAAGACAGGTGCTCACAGGTCTTTCTAGAAACATATAGCATAAAGGCGCTAACGTAACCTTTAGTCAAAATTACAGCCCCGCCCACTTTCTGGTGAAAATACTGCATTAGAGCGAAGCGGAAAATAATAGTGTCTTCATGTCTTAAAGCTGCCGAGTCATATATTGCACCTCAAACAACAAATAAATCCAGAGTTACAGTTTCTTTACTTCCTCTACAGAGAAAAGGACAGCAAAAGAAACTCAGAAATCACGTCTCTGGCGTCTGACACTCTATTCAACACCAATTTCATATTATAATTATACAGTTTTTGACGAACAGAAATATTGTTTTCTGGCTTCACTTTAACATTTTACGGGGAAAATCTGCATTTTGGTTTGAAGGTGAAGGCCCTGTTACCTGATGCAGAAAAAACTCTGGTTGCTACTAAATTACTGTCAAATGCAACACTTAATAACAAGAATAATCAAACTAAGGGTCCTGTAAAGTTGTGTGTGCGTCACCCACTAGAGGCTGGCATAATGTGAAAACATGTATGAATGGCTGTTTTAATCACAGTCCACCTACATCTGTTCAGCAACTCAACACTGAAAAATATTCAAAGTCTCTAGAATCTCTTTGGACAAAATCTTGGTATGACTCAAAGGTTTATGAAAGAATATAAAGATGTTGTTGTATAAAATGTGTTCAGTGTTTAAAAATGTCAGCCATCAATAACAGAGCTGTGTGTGTGGAAGGTGAAGATGACTCACAGTCGAGCGAGTGACTAATAACGTGCTTCCAAAATTGTCTTTTTCAAACCGTTAGTGTCTTATTCGTGTCGTTAAACTCTCAGAAACTGCATTAAGAAGAGATAAATATGGTAATACTATTTTAGCTTGCTGTTTTCCAGAGATACACGGACGTCCAGCCTCTTTCAAACCCCACATTTTGTTATGGGAATGTGTTGCTAAGGAAGGTTTGCCATTTGAGTGTCATGACATTTAAATAAAACCCGATAGCCTTTTCGTTTTAGCGTCTGTTTATCTGCAGACATGTCCATCACACCTACAGAGAAAAGCTTCCAAGTACCTTTGCTATCACAAACACAGAAAACCAAAATAGCCGACATCTCTGCAGAGTAGCTTCTCCACTTATCAGCAGAGCGTCTTTCTTTAAAATACACTCCTGCAGACTCAAGATGTCTTTAACAAGGCGCCTCTACACTTCATTTCACTTCTATAACACAGAGATGAGCTGGAGAACAGCACCGGATGAGCGTAAATAAAGATTCTTTAGATCTGTGGTCAAACTGTGTATGGCTACATACCAAGATTGTTCATAAATAATCATCAGTAATGTGGATATAATGACTAAGTGGGTAATGGCGACTAAAAGAAGAGGAAGCACAGTCTGATAGGTAAATAAAATGATAACAATTCATAATGATAGAGCCTTTAAAACCAGAGAAACACAACCTTATCTCCAACCATGACATTTAGGCCATATTCAATAATACCATATCCAAAATCTAAGACAAAACACAATATCAGTATTAAATCAATATCTATATGTTAATATTGCTCAGGCCTTGATCTGCAAAAGCTGTAATACCCAAACGTAACATTAGTGTTGTAGTCAAGACCACCTTAACCGAGACCAAGTCATGACCAAGACTGGAGTGTACCCAGACCAAGACTTTAAGAGGTCGGGACCAAGTCAAGACCAACACCAAGACTTTAAAAGGTTGAGACCAAGTCAAGACCAAGACTGGAGTGTACCCAGACCAAGATCTTAAGAGGTTGAGACCAAGTCAAGACCAAGACTTTAACAGTACGTCCACACGGCAGCGTCGCGTGCTTCAGCAGAGACGCTTCCCATTCACTTTGAATGGGGTGACGTCACGCTTTGCCGAACTGCATTGTGGTTGTTTATTTCTGAAACAGTATGGAGCTCAAAGGCTTTCTCTCTTGCCGGTTATACCACAAGGTGAGTTCCTTTTTATTTCCTGCTTCTTCACACACATGCTCTCCAGTACAGGTTAGCTCTGAGTGTTAGCGATGCTAATGTAAACACCGACCATATTACGTCCAAAACAGTCGGGCATTGTTTCTGATAGCAATGTTTCTGATAGGGCCGTGGGTCCAGATTTCCGATATTACGTCATATATAAAAATTAAGAAAGTAAAGACTAAATGTGATTGTCTCAGTTTGAGGACTTCTGTTAAAAGAGGGAGGGTTTCACCTTTCCTAGTCAGCTTCTCCTCCCCCCCTAAATCCATCACAGCATGATGGGGTCTACTCGCCAAAGTTGAATATGTCTTGCCCTTTGCACATATACGGCAATAAATATGTTTATCCCACCAAACAAATTTCAAAGTCTCTCTTGATTGAACTATTTGTGGCATTTACAACCAAGTGCAACACCAAATATC